CTTATATCACAGAAATTACGAGCATTACAAAAATGGCAAACAGATGTGGATGTGCTTTTGCAGAGGCTCCTTTTTTTTACGGCCAAGGGAAGGTTTAAAAGAGTCGAAAGGGGAATTTTTGGGTTTGCTATAAGGTTTTTTTGGCTATTGCTAAAAATTGCTATTTGATTGCTATTTATAGAAATATTATTATTGTTCAGATGAATCATTTATAGGGTTCGGAATTCCTTACTTATATTTCTATTCATTTTGTTATTTTTGTATATTTTTGGCACTCGCTTTCCATTGATCAACTTTTCTTTCCTTTCTGCTTTCAATCCATAAATCTATCCATTTATTCTCCAGTCCTTCTTTTCTGAAATGATGACTTTCTACCTTGATTTGCATCCTGCCTTTCCATGTTTCCTGGTTTCTTCTTAACAAGCTTCTTTCTTACATATTTTCTCTTACTTTCTTGCGTTTCCCGCCTTTCTTTCTGCCTTTGAAGGTCTTATTCCAATTGATAGTTGCTTCTATCTTCCAGCTATCATCTCAAACAAGTTTCCAGGCAGTCTTTCGCGGTTTATCCCCTTGTAAAATGCAGCTTTGCTTCCTTCCGAAAAAAAACCTTTTGCATTAACAAAATTAAAATCCATGGGCCATGGCGTACTTTACAATTTCATGCGGCGCTATTCTCTATTCATATTTCTAGTTTGCTCATAACAAGCGGAGGAGAGCAGGAGCCAGCCTCATGCCCGGAAGTTGGAAGGATGCGCTTTGTGGACAGGACACATCCCCCCATATCTTCAGGGATGCTCTCGCGGTTTCCTAGGAAGTAAATTTCGTTATCGTTTATTATTATTATTATGCGCGATGTGTGAAATGTCTGAGTCCACCCTCCACTCACCATTCGGTGGCTGTGTGGCAGCGTGGCAGTGTGGCAGCGTGCGCGGTGTTTGTGTTGTGACGTGGGAAATAAATTTATATTCATAACACACAGGGAGACGGAAAGGGATCAGAGATACGGAATGAGGCTGAGGCTGAGGCTGTGGATGAGGCATAGAGTAGCACATACAGCGACATGCATACAAAGTGCTTTATGTGTGCCACAAGATGCTGAAGGGGGGGCTGTAGCTGGTGCTGGTGCTTGGGCAGGCTCCCAGCATTCCATCAACAAGACTTGCAAGTTTTTTGATTAAACTCGAGTGGTGTGTGCGGGTGTGTAGAGTTCTTTTTGGGGACTGCAGCTTATTAAAGCAGCATCGAGTCGAGTGCGTGTCGGAGTGGAGTTCATGTTGCAGCTAATGGGATTAGCGTTGCATCCAGAGAGCGAGAGCGAGCAAGAGAGAAGAGCCCTTCAGCCAGTAGTAGTAGCAGTGGCTTCGTCTTCTTCTTTCAATCTCCTTCACATATTGATTACTAATTTGCTTGCCAGAGACGTTGCCACGTCACAACTTTCCGCAAAACTTCAACTTCATATATCACGTCAGCAGATCCCATCCCAGATGCTTCCCCAGACAGATGCAGATAACTCGATTTTAAGGTAGCCCCCAAAACTCTAGGCATTAACATGAGCCAGGAGCAAGGAGCAACGAGGACTAAAGTTGTAACATGCGTCGTCCGCTTGATGCTACTTGGACAACTTCGTCGTCGTCGTCGTCATCGTCATATAAAATGTACAAAGACAAGGTAATTTTAGGGAACAGCAGGGAACTGGCAACTGAGGCAGCAGACACATGCAGCGACAGCGACAGTGGCAGTGGCAGGTCCAAGTTCCACTCAAAGTCATGCATGCATAAAGTCAAACGACAACCGGCGGAGAGAGCCGAACCTCCGCACAACAATCAAAAAAGCGTTGGGTAAGTCAAAGATGCCGCAGGGCCATTGGAGCTAACACAAAAAAAAAGGGGGCGAAATACGCTCTCTTCAGGGTAGGATTGGGCGAGTGCATGGCAATGGAAATGAAAGTGGGTTTGGATTTGGATTTGGTTTTGGTTCTGGGTTCTGGGTATATTTTTGTGGGCCATGTGCAATGCAATAACTTGCCAAAATGACACCATGTCCTTGGGGTCTACTTTTTTCGGGAAGAGCACAGTCAGGCGGGCACGCGGGCAGGCGGGCAGCGCGTGTTGTATCGATAACGGGTTTGTCGCTGCTGCGTGGTCGAGTCCAGGGGCTGTGGGGAGTGGAATAAGTATGCAATCGTGTCTGCACATCATACATATGTTGCTAGAGGATTCACCACCACGGGGGAGTACAGTGAGCGCAAAAGAGTAGCGCTTACTTTCGTTTGATTTCCCCTACTCAAGGCCATTCGCTTATGGGAACTTTAGGGGAATTATTTCAAAGATTCTTTAAAGATAGATGATGCTATGAAAACCCTTAAAAATCTATCAGAAATATTTGTAAAATCTTTTCGAAATTCCCCTATTTTCACATGCAAATTTCTCTCAGTGCATTTGACGGGCTGTGCAAACACAATGAGAAATCATGCACAAATCGAGCAAATTGCATATTTCTTACGCGACTGGGGCGACTTTTAATTTTTCATGCGAGAATTGCAGTCTTCGAGACTGCAGTTTTTCCCTCCGCCATTTCCATTTCCATTTCCTACATTGCGATTTCCATTCCGATTCCCCTTTGGGGACATTCTATTCCTTTTGTGCCATTTGTTTGGGTGTGTTAGTATTTTTGCACGTGTGTGTGTGTGTGACTTGTAAATTTCCCTTGTCGGACCATCGCCACAGTCAGAGGCGCTTGATTGAGCTCACGTTTCGCTGGAGCCGTAGCCGTAGCTGGAGCTGGAGCTGGAGCTAGAGCCTCCCAGTTTTTTTTTTTTGACTGTCAGACAGACACACAGTGCATATTTCCACACACACTCTGCCCCTTGACTTTTTATTCAAAAAATATCCTAGTACAGACTATGAAATGGAGTGCATACTCGAATAAGCCCTCAAATTAAACCCAGCAGCAGCAGCAGCAGCAGCGGGAAACTCTTTTTATTTCCCCCGTGTGCGTGGAAGACCGAAAAGTTTCGCCGCAATTTTCGTTGGTACGTGGGGTTACGGAATGATGATGATTTTTGGTATCTCCTTGAGGTACAAACATTTCAAACATCATTGTCTTTAATCAAACAGCATTAAAATTTACACATGTACCTCTTCGTAGTATTTGTACACAAAACAGATCCCTAATCCCAATACCCCGGCATCACATTTCCCTGCTGCTCCCAGTTGGAATCCCTTTTTCCCTTTTTTCCCTGTTTCATTTTTGTCACATTTTTGCATGTCACACGGCGTATTGCAAAACATGAGTATGTAAATTTTGCTGTGTTCTTTCCCTTCTTTCCTATTCGGGGAACACCCATAAGAGGTCCTCCGCCACTCTGCTCCATTATTTGCTGTGTATTAAGTACAGGAGTTGATTTCACATGTGGCATGGGTCCGGGTCCGGGTCCTCTGTGAAAAATGTTGCAAAGATGCAAAACAACTGTTGGCAGTTTGTCAAATTTGATTTGTCATACATCAAATGGCTTTAAAATGACAAGGAGGATGTCTGCTGACAGCCCAGGATGCCGCACATACTCCGTACATTGTGGGTGTCCCTTTTTTTTTTGCCATGGAATGGCATAGAGAAAATAGCAGAAAATAAAGCTAATGTTGGAAAATAACTTAAAAGTGTTGATGTGGAAACTGTACAAGGAAATATATGTATTGGTGGGTTTTTTGGATAAAGGGAATGGAATGGTCGCAGAGTCAAAGAGTTTATTCAATGAGATGGAAAATATTTGGATGTGTAGAAAGACAAAAGTTAATTAACAGAAGGGAGCTTAGTTAGCAGTTGATTAAAGGGGTGTTAAAAGAGTTCTAGTTCGCTGTAGTAGCTATAAGGAATTCTTTGGGTATTTATCAAGGCTATAAAGGGTCCTCCCTTCCTTACTTTACGCCCTATTAAACTGCCACCAAGTGAGTTATTTTCCTATGTAAAATCTGCTGCTGAATGCGCATTCTCCCCCTTTTATTGAACCCACTGCAATTGATCCGAGCAATTGCCAGATGTTATGGCGCCCAACAACAACAACAACCTCTTGAGCTTTCGCTTCCTTAATAGTCACTTCATCATGGAGCAGCTGATGCCCACCCCCTGTCCGTCCAACCGCCTGGCACACTTCACCTGGCGCCAAGCCAAGCCTAAGTGGAGTGCTCATTTACTTAATATTCTAATATAAATTTAACGTACTCCATCAAAAGTGCAGCCACCTCGGTGGCCAGAACAAGATTGAGATGAAGAATGGGGCAACAACAGGAGCAGCAGAGCCTGCAAGAGTACTTGTGAGAGACGAGACCCCTTGCACAGTTGAAGGACATGGAAATGAAACTCATTTGCCTCATCAGTGGCGGCCCATGGGAGGGGTGGCTGGTGGTGCTACGATGCCATGTAAGAGGAGACTCTACAGTTGGTTTTAGCCAAGGACCCAAGGACCCTGGTCTACATTTTGCGTTGCAGCGTGACAAGCAAATTGCCAGGATACACACCTAGCCACAGACAATGTCCTCCGCCTGCCTGCTACTGCTGCTGCTGCTACTCCTGCCTCCTGCCTACTGCTGCTGCTGCTGTTCATTCTGTTGCTCGGTCGCGTGTTAAACTTCGCCCACCCCCCCCAACATGGAAACTCGAGAGCTGAACACAACCCACACGACCACCACCACAAAAGCGTAGGAGGCGGAGGATGGGACTCGTAATGGGCGAACTGTGGAACTATGGGACTGTGGGACTGGGGAGGGAACCCTGTGTGACCATGACTAATTTGTTAGCAATTATGTTGGATTGACGTCCCCGGATTGGGCCACATTAGCATAATTGTTGTTATGAGATCCCCCCACCTCTGGCACTAGCCACAGAACTGACTTTTTGATGGCGATGCAGGTGCACTTGACATTCATTAACATCAGAACTGGGAGAGATGAGAGCAGAACGAGAGTGACCCAAAAACTATGGCAAACTCTGACTTTGAGTTTTAAGTCAGTTTAAGGAGCATTTTATTTGTATTTCCCCGAATGAATGGAACCCGAAAATGAGCCAAAGCCTGGCAAAGGTCGAGCCCTGCTGCAATTTGCGGCCGGCGGATCGGCGGGTCTCCTGGAATTATTGCTGTTGCATCCATTGGATGTGGTCAAGACACGAATACAGCTGCAGGGCGTGCAAGCAGCCGCCGGAGAGCTCCATTACACGGGCGTCATTGACTGCATATCGAAGATCTATCTGCACGAGGGTTTCGCTGGCTTTTGGAAGGGCATTGTCCCACCCATTTGCTCGGAGACCCCGAAGCGAGCGGCCAAATTTGTGATTTACGAGCAGGCCAAGCCGCTGTTTCTGTTCGGAGCACCGCAACCGACGGCCCTGACGCATGCCATGGCTGGGTCACTGGCTGGTACGCTGGAGTGCATTATCCTCAATCCCTTTGAGGTGGTAAAGATCACACAGCAAGCGAATCGCAGCGAATCTCTCAATACCTTAACGGTGGCCAGTAGAATCATTCGGAGTGATGGCTTTTTCATCAAAGGACTCTACCGAGGTATGACAGCGCTGCTGCTGCGCAATGCCATCTTTCATTTCGCATATTTTGGCCTCTATCAAGGACTCAAAGATGAAATTCCCGCCTATCAGGACAAGCTGGCGGAGTTTCTGCGCAGGGGCACCATTGGGTTCTTTTCGAGCAGCATTAGCTGCTTGTTTAGCATCACTTTCGATGTGGCCAAGTCCCGAATACAGGGGCCACAGCCCATCAAGGGCACCATCAAATATGAATGGGCTGTGCCCACGATCCGGACGATATACAGGGAGGAGGGCTTTCGAGCGCTGTTCAAAGGCATGAGTGTCAAGATAATGCGTGCGGGACCAGGAGGTGCAATCCTAATGCTGGCCTACGAGTATGGCTATGAGTATTTGACGAATAAATATGGTTGAAAAGTGCATAAATTAGATAGCTAAATATATATGAGTGGTGTATCGAGTAAAAACACTAAAAAGTTGGTTATCGATAATTATCGATTAATTATTTTACAGAAAAAACCATGATTGAATGATCGAAAAAGTTGCATTTGCCATATTTAACAAGATAAAGCATTTTAAACGACTATCTTCTAATCGATAACTTATCGATTAACTATTTTACAGCAAAAACAATGAACTAATCTTCGCAAACGATTCATTTGCCATCTTCCACAAGATAAAGCATTTTAAACGACTATCTTCTAATCGATAACTTATCGATTAATTATAATACAGCAAAAACAATGAACTAATCTTCGCAAACGATTCATTTGCCATCTTCCACAAGATAAAGCATTTTAAACGACTATCTTCTAATCGATAACTTATCGATTAACCGCAATGAACTAATCTTCGCAAACGATTCATTTGCCATCGATTAACACATATTTTTCATGAGAAAGCAATGCAAGGGACTTCCAATCGGCACAACTTCCTTTTCGAAGTAAAAAATATAGAAATTAAGTTTCCAATGAAGTTTCCACAGACTCCCTCCACACACATAAAAGTCACTTAAGTAACAAACCTTAAATACTCGTAGTTTTGTTGCTGTTTTCAGTTTCTGTTCAGGTTCGGCTTTTCGGTTACCTTCACACACACACAAACCTGACCACAGACCGCAGTTCTACATGTTTTACAATTTGCACTTAATTGTTTAGAGCTCTACACCGACAACAACGTCGAGGATAGAAGGGGAGAGGACTACTACAGCAACATCAGAGACACAGCATCAACAAGCACCGACAATTATAAGCCAGCCATAACAACAATTACAATTACAGGCGGGAAACACAGAGAACACTTACAAGAAGGGGAATTATAATTAATTTATGTCGAGTGTTGGAAAGTGTTTTGCCACTGGACAGGACAGACTCTCAAAGTGAGCTACGGACTTTGTTTCCACGGCATTTATTCCTTATTCCCACTTATTCCGAGCTCCACTCTCGTATTTGTTTGGTATCAAGATCAAGGGGTATATTGGATTTTGAAGAGAGAAAGAACTCACTCTGTAGAAGAGCCATGGCCCACAAAACTTATTGAACTTATTCTCCATTTCCCATTAAAACAAACCCATTTCCACATCACTAATATCTAAAAAGTAAAGGTAAGTAAAACGTCAGTACATACCAGGTATTTTCTAGCCGAAAACGTTTCATTCTTTTCCATTTTTTTCCTTCTTTTGGTTTGGTCTCATTCCACCTGACAGTCCCACCTAATTGTGTGGTAATTGAAGAGTCCTTCCATGGCGCAAAGGAAGTGCAATTAAGAGTCATTAAGGTGAACACCAGAAAAGCCAACACAAAGAAGAGCCAAAGGAAGCTGCTGGCTAATCGTCGAGAAGAGGGCGACGACCACAAAGAACAATTATCATATGCCTGAAATCGAGCGAACCAAAACATAAATCAATTTTAAATGCTGGGGATAAATATCTGCAAGCTACAAATCAAAATTTTCAAGCCATCAATCAACATTTTAAACATAAGTTTGGGCATTCCAAAGTGGGTTGTGTGAGTTGTGTGGGTGTGGGGAATTCTGGGGGCCATCAAATAGAGAGTTTCATGCTTAATTAGTTTTAATGCGTAATAAGCATATTTCTCGTCTAAATTAGCCCAAAAACATCGACCGAACGAGCGGGCCGAAAATGTTCAATTGTAATGGCAATTTGGGGAGGCCTTAAAGTATGCAGTGCACATTTTCAATTATTCATAGATGAAATTGCAAATGCGTAATGAAATGAAATCAAAAGCAGAATTCGCAATAGGCAGTGCACAGTTCCCTCTAATGCCCCACACGCCCCCTCATTCCGAAATCCCTATCTGAATGGCTGGCTGGTTGGCTGGCTGGCTGCCTGGACTATACATCTCATTTCCCAGTGGAGTGGAAATGCCCTTGAGCCATTTGCCATGCCATGCCATGCCATGTTCATGTTCATGTCGACGTCATTTTCCATGGTATTGTAATTACACTAATCTATACTCGAATACTCGTATTTCGTGTGTCTTTGTGTGGGCTGCAGCTATGTAAATGCATTTGAAATTGACCCTGGAGACATTTTTGCCTTTGCATTTTGGTCAATGCATTTATTGTTTACCCCGAGTATTGTTTGTTTCTCCTCGGTTTTGTTTAATTGTTTGCCAGCAGAGTATTTTCCACACTTCTTGCTGCTAATTGAGTAGATGGTTTTTGTGGCGAGTTCTCGTATATCTATCTGAAAGGCATGCCTCATTAATTAAGTGAAAATGCATTTCCACTTTTGCACAATTTTCATTGCAATTTATGCAATTTGCTGTATAAAATTAAATCCAAAATGAGACCAAATATTACATACACAAAAGACCTAAACAAAAAAAAATTCAACCAATTACTAAACAAAAATGTATCTTTTGGAAAAATTCCCAACTCAAAAATTTGGCAAACAAATTGAATTAACACAAAATGCATTGCACAATGCAATTTAATTGCTACCAACCCGAGTGAGACAGAGAGAGTGAGAGAGATCTCTCTCTTTGTGTCGATGTGTCTAGTCAATAAAATATGAATTATTTGAAATATTTAAACGTACCAGAAAATAAATCAAATGCCAATACTCGACACCATCGAGAGAGAGAGATAGGAAATGGATTTCTGTCAAAGCCAGAAAGAGAGACAGAGAGAGAGAAAACCAAGGCGCACACACACACACACAACTGAGAGAGAGGCAAAATTTACAACAATTTTATTTTATTTTTGTGTGTTTTTTTTTTGTTTTTGTGGTTTTTATGGTATTGTTGCCTGCCAAATACATTTTTTTCCCGACTCAACATTATATTGGTGCTCTTTGAAGAGAGTTTTATGATTTTTATCAAAGGTTTGCAATGCAACGAACTATAGATTTTCAATTCCATAGATCAATATACATAGATAATAATCTTGCTTTTCTATATAAATTAAGTCTCGCATTTTATATAATATTTGGCTAGAAGATTGCACTAAAAAGCTTCACGAAAATTATTGCATTAAGGGTATTAAGCACTTCGGCCTTAAAATTGAGACACTTTCATAGTTTTTTTTATTATTATCGGGAAACAGCAAAAATTGTGTTGTAGCTGTTGTGGTTGTCTAAATAAATTTTTTATTGACCATGGTTAACGCTTCACTGGCCAATAACCAGAGAGACAGAGGGGCAAACACACACTCACACACAAAGGGAATGCGGATGAGGGGCAGACACAGAGAGTGGGAGTGTGGCAGGGGCCGGAGAGTGTGAAAAAGGCAAAAACCACTGGAGAATGCCAAAACCAGTGGCAGGAGAAGCAGCAGCAGGAGAAGCACCAGCAGGCAGCAGGCAGCAGGAGCAGGCAGGCAGTCAGCAAGTGGAGTGCTCAAAGTTCTGGCTTGCCACACACAACGCCTCAAAGCATGCCACAAGTTATTTTCACACACCAGCACACACACACACACCAGCACACACCCACACAGGCAGCTCTATCTGTGTGAGCGAATAAATGTATGAATGAATGAATGAAATGTTCAAATTACACATGTTATACACAATTGTTGGTAGAAAATATGATTATGCTTGAGGGTGAAAAAGGCCCACAGAACGAGAAGCAGAACCCCAACCAGAACCAGAACCACAATCCAAGGACATGGATAACGAAACTTGAAATTTTGTCGGGGCTGAATGTGTGACACGGTTTGTGTGCTTGGGTATAGGTGTGTTTTCGTGGGTGTATATATGGGCGTGGGCGTGTGACTGTGTTTGTGGATGGTTAGGCTTTGGCATACTCTATGGGCGATGTTTTTGGAAGCAATTTGAAATGTTTGAGTGAGTTGAAAGCGATCTAAAACCTCAATAAAAATTTAGATTTAAGTTTAGAGTTTTTTCTAATTAGCAAACTCTATTTCAAACCCAAAGATTGTTAGTTCCCGTATCCCGTATAATACTGTGGAGAGTCTTCCTTACTTGGCATACATTTCCACCGAAAATACGACATTCCAAATAATGTTCTATTGCAGCAAAAATAAATTTCAATCACAAAGTGTTCAAAATAAAATAAAAACCACTTGGAAAGTATTCTACAAAATCTGGTTTCGGGAAACCCTAAAAATAGTATAAATAATTCCCCCCATTTAGCAAGAATATTCGCCATTCGTTCTTTAACATTTGTTTCCACAAAAAAAGGAAAAAAAAAATACACATTCCATAAATTCATAACACGTTTTCCGGTTACCTTCATTCATGGCATAGCCATCGAATGTTCAGACGGGTTTTATCCTTTATTCTTGACTTGGTTTGGCTTTTATTTTTTTGTACGAGTATTTTACGTGTCTCATGTGTTCTTCATGTGTTTTTCATTTTTAACTTTAAAGCCAGAAGACAGAAAAGCCAGGAGCCAGCAGCCAGCAGCCAGTAGGAGAGGGGTCGTTGGGGCTGAGGAGTTTGGTTGAAAATGAAATGAAATTAATATGAAGTTTGACTTAACGCCTCATAAATCATTGTCCAATTTTCAGACGACTACAACGACACCAGGACGCAGGACTCTGGAGAGTAGGAGGAGGAGGAGGAGGAGCAGTAGCATTACCAGGAGCAATATGTGTGGCTGAGAGATGACGATGAGGCGACTATCCTGTGGTGGCATCGTTGTCCTGCTGACGTTGTAACACAAACACACTTAAAATGATTGAAATATATGTAGAGTCGAGTCGGATATATATGCGTAACATGGCACGACATTGCCCCATCCCACATACATACATACATACATACATATATAGTAGAGTATAGTAGTACACATACTCGTACGACTCACTGTATATATTGGTGCTGCCGTCCTAGACGAGCGGCGTTTTGCTGGGAAGACAGAAGACTTCCTCATTACACGCTTGTCACGTGCACATTTAACGTTCCGTTGCACACACAGATACTCTCGCTCACACAGACAGACTCACATACATAATTATGCACACAGACACAGGGGCAGAGAGAGAGAGAAA